TCCGTCACTTCCTCTGTGTCCTCAGGATCAGAGTCTGTTAACTCACCCTGAGCTGAACAATTCACCCAGATATGTCAATTAAAATACTAAAATTAAATTAAACTCTTAACTTTAAATCATTCATATATTTAGATTTGAAAGATTTACAAAATCTGAGTTTAAAACAAATGTTGTTTAGTTTGGAAGTCTCACCCAGTTTGGTCCCAGACATTTCTCTCATTCAATTGTAGCCCTAGCGACACAAATCTGCTCCTAAAACACAAAGAATCAGTCATACGGCTGGAAGCAGCTAAAACTGGAGTCCGACGTCATTTTCTGCGGTGAAGAATGATGGAAAGCTCGTCCCACAGCAAATGGTCCAATCCTAACCTGGATCCTTCAGTCCCGGTGTTTGAAAAGTTCACAGTTTTTGGTCTAAAAAGAAAAGCTAAATCAAAAAAAGCCTTTTTTTGTGACGGTTGTGAATGAGCAGCTTCATTAGTGTAGCGGGTGATGCTCAGCCTTGGTATTATCTCATAGAAAGGCCACCGTGGTCTTTTGTTCGTCGCATTGCAGAGAACAGCTGATGAGGCTGAATTGCTGAATGGTCTGGTGACAAAGCTCCAAAACCAAAGGTGGATGCTATCATTTCAACTATTATTCAAGTTTAAATCATTGAAATCAATAATAAAAAGTAGTTTTCTTTTAAATAAATTAATAACGAACAGGAATAACACAAATAAGCACTTATAAACTTTATTTTAGGCAATATCAGGGACTTATTTAAAAATATTCTGAGATTGAAAACAACATTTCTAAAGTGCTATTAAGAGATCATTCTAAACAATTTTTAAGGTTTGATTTATTTCACAGGAGTTGGAAAAAATAAACAGGAAACAGTGACGAATGTTCACCGCTGCCTTATTTCTAACCCTGGCTCTCCTACATCATGATCTTCTGCTGGAACAAAGAGACCAGTGTGGGACCCTCGCAGCTCTTGTTCGTTCTGATTTCTTCTCTGGCACGTGGCAAACAAATCTTCTCTGTTTTGTACTCTTTCTCGTTATAGGGGCAGTCCTTAAGATGCTCAGAGATGGATGGAATATCTCGGAACGACCAGGAGTCGATGGGGGAGAACATGGTGCTGAACTGCCAGACCTGAGGGGACAGAGTGAGATAGAGATGGTGTTCTAATTCAGAAGGGTTTCATTCACTCACATTCTTTCTTGGCTTACCTTCTGGGCCACCCTCCACATGGTTCTCCCCTGTAAGGAGGCCATCTTCTCCCAGCGGAGGGTGACCATCCCTCGGTCTTGCAGCAGAGAGGAGCACACCTGCCTCATGAGCCGGGACACCAGAGAAAACTGGGATAGGGTCAAACTGTCCAGGAAACTGGCCACGTGGACCAGAACCTCATAGGGCAATGAGCTCAGAAAGTCTTCTCCTCCTTCATCATGACATAAACTCTTGTTCTTCTTCTGAGCTTTAGAGGAGTCCACAGTACTGCGGGATGCCTGGGAGGAGGGACTGGTCAGAGAGGAATGGATATTGGGATGTAGGCTGAAACAGCCCAGTTCCTCACTGAAAGCAAAGATATCAAGTTGAAATTTTTTTATCGCAAGGATGTCATTTAATTAGGTTTAATTGGTGCTGTCCCTATCTTCCCTCCATCTTCTATACTTGCTTGTCCACACAGGATCGCGGGGCTTGTATCCATCTCCAGGCAAGCATGTGGGGTACAAGTTGCCAGTCCATTACAGGGCAACTCAAAGACACAAAGGAAAAACAACCAAGCGTGCACACACTCACACCTAGAACAATTTAGAGAGACCAATTACCCGTCAGTCATGTTTTTGGACTGTGGGAGGAAGCCGGAGTACCCAGAGAGAACCCACGCATGCACAGGGAGAACATGCAAACTCCATGCAGAAAGATCCCAAGCCGGGATTTGAACCCAGAATCTTCTTGCTGCAAGGCATTATTTTATTATTATTTTAAAAAAAAGGAATGTCTCTCAATCTCACAGTCTTTTAACACTTGGAGTGTGTGATGAGAGCGATTCTCAGCTAACACCATATCAAATTTCATTTCAATGTATTTTAAGGGGATATAGTACAAAAATCACCTTTTGCATCCTTTTTTGCTGTCATGTGGGTCCCTGTTGCCTCTGTAAACACCCCAGATGTGGAAAAAACCTCCACCTGTTTTCTGTCAGTAGGAATTATGGGTGTAAAATGAGCCATTTAAAAAGGTCCCCCTTTTGTGATGTCACAAACAGGGAAAGTAGAATAAAACCGCCTCTCACAGGCCAGAGAAAGCAGCTGCTGGAGGAGCAGAGGCTCTGCTGCAAGCCCCTCCCAGATATTGGAGCCTGAGTGGGGGATGAGTGGGCGTGGCCAGCTCCAGCTTGTTTTCTTAAAGCGACAGGGCCTTGAAACGGCTTATTTTGGAAGGTACTGAAACTGTCCAGTACCTGATGGTTTAAACTAACTCTGATGGATTATGAACACATGTATAAAACGCGTGGTCACAGTCTCAGGGAGCGTATTCAGACATTGGCGCTCATCTCACTTGTAGTTGATGGTGGCATCATGTGTGGAGGGCTGAAACCTGCTCTGCTTGTAGGTGCATCCCAGATATGCCAGAGGACATCTCTGTTGGAACCAACCATTCACACCCATCTGGATGTCACTGTGGGCATTCCTGTTTAGCAGAATGTTGATTATTCTAAACAGAGTCAATCAATTTAAGAAAGAAGACTCATTGATCAGCTGCGTCCTCCTGACCTGATGTGAGCTGATGACAAAACAAACACTCACTTATAATGTTTGCCATATTCTCTGCGCTGGAAAGTGTGTCCACAGATGAAAGTGAAGGCAGAGCTGGCCTTATTGTGCCGGCTGGTGACGCTCTCCGCCTGGAGCTGAAGGTGCAGCTCCAGAGGTTTCCCGGTTGTTAGGTCAGCCAGCGATGTGCTTCTTCGGAAGGGAGCAGACAGGAAGTTGTAAGTCTGCGTGCCCTCATCTGTCAGCAGACTGTCGGAGCTTGAGGTCTCAGCGATGAGGTGACCCCTGCGCTCCCTCTCCAAAGAGCAAAGCAGGGAGGCCTACAACCGAACAGATCGGAGGAAAATTCTCAAAGTTCTTCAGCTTTTTGACCACTTTTTGTTTGCTAAAAGGAACATTCTCATGAAAAGTAAACGGGAGGTTTACCTCACCTGAACTTCCTCCCACAGCGGCATGTCCTGCAGCGCCACCCCCAGGTCGCTGGTATCCACACTTTTACTTTCTCTCTTGTAGAAACCAGGGTTGCGGATGCGGCCTTGCCTTGCTGTGAAGCTGGTCGGGATTTTAAAAGTGCGTACTGTGATGATTTTCATCGGCTCTAGGCGCCCGTACACAAACTTCTTCATTTTAGGCTGTCGAGTGAGGCCAGAGGAGGAAGCAGAAGGACCAGATTGTGCACCTTTTGTCTGTGTGCAGCTGCTGGATGCTGCTGCACCTGCACAGTTATCCACTGGATCCTCCTCAGTCAGAGTCCCCAGGCCCCTCCCTTTGCCTTGAGCTTGACCTTTGCCTGCTTCAGCTTCTCTGCAGCCACCCATCTCCATGCTAAACATTCGTTCCCAGGCATTGTAGTTTTCCAACAGATCAGCATCTACTCTGGAGGACCTGGCGAGAGCCTCCCTCTCCTCCTGAGTCAGGGCTGGCTGACTCTCAAACTCATCCTCACTTTCACTCTCTTCTTTCTTCTCATCGGGGAGGTTAAACATGTTTATTGACCGCCAGAGATTTTCGCTGACTTCTTTTGCAGCTGCCCTCTCTGCCGCCTCCTTCTCCATCATGGTCTTTTTTTTCATCTCCTTTTCCTTCCTTCTCTCCTCTTCTCTCAGTTTCTCTTCTCTTTCCTCCTCCTCTACTGTCTGGATGTGCTCTGGGAAGAGCTTCTTCATCTTCATGGAGTGAAACAGGCTCTCCTGGTCCTTCAGGGCCAGGGCCAAGTCCAGACATCCTCCCTGCTCTTGCTCACCGAGCAGGTTCTCATACAGCTCTGTGTTGGGATGAGAGCAGGCATCGTTTGCAGGCCAGCGGTTCCACTCCATGGAGCAGCACACCACGCTGGCCGGACACACCTGGAGGTGAGCTGCCCGAGAGGAGCGGGGCAGCTGCACCGTGCAGCCGTACACTGCATTGATGCAGGGCACCCTCACGTTGGGGCAGAGCAGCAGGTGGTCCTCCTCTTTGCACAGGTGGAAAACAGCACCACATAGCAAATTGCAGGGGACCACCGCACAGCTCACATCAACCTCCACCCGGGTCCTGCAGCGCCGACTGTAGCAGGAATCACAGTGGAGATGCTGCTGCAGCCTGGAGGCTCGCGATCGACGACTCTGGAGGGAAACAATTAAGGTCACGACATGTCAGACTTTGTGGTGCCCTCATCGTGTCACATCAAGTTAGAAACTGAAATCATACCATCCTCAGTTTGTCTGCAGTCAGGTTTCTTTATCTGAAGCTACAGGTCTGTCCTGCAAAGAAAAAAGACACCGACTTCAGTCTGTCAGAACAATCATACTTTTACAAATACAAGCACACATGGAAATCGTACAGTTGTAGCAGATTATGGGATATAAAAGTAATAAAACTTAACTACTGCGTGAGCTGAAAAGAAGAGAAGCACGCTCCTGCGTGTACTTGTATGTGTGTCAGTGTTATGTGTAGGTGTTATAAATAGAGCTGAGCGCTGACTAAGAAATGTTACACAGGTGGTCCGAAGCATGGTTTGGGTTACCGAGCCCTCTCCAACATTCACATAAGAAGATGCATCTATGATTCATTCTGTGAAGCTGCAGGAAACTGATTTAAACCTGCAGAACCTCCAAACGTTCACCTGAGACCAGATTCATGTCCAGACAGTGTCATCTAGTGGGGAGGGGAACTCAGCTTGCCTGCGTAAAAACAGCAGAGACTAGGAAGAATACATGGAAGAATCTTAGCGGTGAGACTCTTGGGGGGAGTAGTTTCTCCTTCTGAACCTGCTTGCTGCTGCTTGGCTAATTTTAACACTCTAGTTTAAAGAACGCGGGGACAGAGAGCAGCATTATAAAACTAAAGAGACAAAACAACACATCTGCAGACTTGGTAAGAAAGGCCTGATCCCACATCACTGAAATGTTTTTGTGTTTGCATAATTTTAAAAGATTACAGCAAAACTCTGCAATCAGTGTCATTTTTAAGAAAGCTGTATATTTTTTGGACTTGCAGCTTAGCTCTATGGTTTATACAAGACTGAGCATCACATTTGTCATCTACCAGAGTGAATTTTACAAAATAAGAGTATCTAAGTATGTGTGCCTATGTGTCTAGGTTACGGCAGTGCAGAATGGAAAAGGTGTATTTGTTTAAGTTCTGCATCTTATGAGAATATCTTTTGGGTTATTTGTTAAAACGCTTGTTCAAATATAAACCAAAATTGATGCATTTTCATGAAAACAGACACATAAATCCACATTTTATATAATTGTTTGGACATTTCTGTATTTTTTAACAATGTCTCTGTGAATTTTTAAAGAAGACATTTCAAATTCCAGTAGATTTTTGACATTTCTGTAAAAAAAACTTATATTTGTGCTATTATCCATCTACAGGTAAATGCTAATGTGCTTTAGTGATGTAATTAAATGTTGGCCATTAGAGTTGGTCTAGACTAGCATGTTGATTTTAGACTGGGGCTATATCTTCCTTGTTAATTACATTTTTGGCCACTTGGGGATTTTTTTTGTGCATAAATATCACACTTATGTGGACAGGTGATAATGTTTTCAGAGGAAGTGATTTCTGACTTTGATTCATTTGTAAAATCCAGAATATTAAATGCTTACTCTGTCTCTGTCTTTTTCCTTTTATTTTTTTTGGCAGGTTAACAAATATGGTGAGTCACAAACGTTTATCAGCAGAAGTTTGGGTCTCTGTGATGATTCTGATCCCCATGGAATCAACTTCCTTATGACCTCAAATCTGCCCCAACTCTATAACTTTTGATCTGCCTTTTACTGCCTTTTTCATGTTTCCCTCCAGAGTCGTCGATCTCGAGCCTCCAGGCTGCAGCAGCACCTCCACTGTGATTCCTGCTTCAGTCTGCGCTGTAGGTCCCGGGTGGAGGCTTCTACCAGCTGTGCGGTCAGCCCTTGTCGTCTGCTTTGCGGTGCTGTTTTCCACCTGTGCAAAGAGGAGGATCACCTGCTGCTCTGCCCCAACGTGAGGGTGCCCTGTTTGAATGCTGCTTACGGCTGCCTGGTCCAGCTGCCCCGCTCCTCTCAGGCAGCTCACCTCCAGGTGTGTCCAGCCAGCGCGGTGTGCTGCTCCATGGAGTGGCTCCGGTGGCCAGTGGATGATACAAACCCACACAGTTTTAACTCCCTGCAGGACAATGTGATGATGCAACGAGAGGAACAGGGGGATGCTTTAGATGTTGCCATGGCTCTTGCAGATCAGTCGGATCTTTACAGTCGACTCAAAATGAAGCCTCTCTATCCAGAGCTGACAGAGGAGGAAGTACAGGATGAGGGAATGGAGGAAACAGCAGCCGGGGGGCTGGAAAATAGAAGTGAAGGTTGGTCACACTGCTGATATGGTCTGTGACACCTAAACTTTCTGCGTATTTACTCTATTTCTGCATATTTATTCATTTCCTGTTTTTTAAGTGCTCAAAAATCCAAAGCCTGAGTTCAAATTTGTTTGGAACTGGAAGAATTTAAGACTGTTTTTAACCCAAATTATCCTAAAAATGAACCAAATTTGCTAAATACATGCTGATTAAAAAACAAACACTGGAATCAATGCAGCAGAGTTTAGTCACACAAAACATAATCTTTGGCTATCCAAATAATTGCATGGTATCTCTTTTCCACAGTAAAACAAAGAAAAATATATTGTAAGTATGTGGTTCACTCATTTAATCAGTACATTTGCAGTGGTCTCTAGTAGGAATTAATGCCTTGTAAATCATTCTCATGGAGAACAAATATACCAGTTTCCTGTTTCAAATCACCGGCGCATCATTTCCAGGAACTAGCAGTGACCCACATCACAGCTGAACTTCAGACGGCAGGATTTAGAGTGTTACTTCATGATATTTGGACATCTTGCCTCTGATTGGTGTAGGGTAATGGTTGTTGGCTCTTTTATGAAAGATGAACCATTCTACATAATAATCTGGAATATTAATTTAACAAATTAATAACCAAATGTTATAGAGATAAGAAGACTCAAAGGTTGTTTTCATCGATAAACTGACGGTCATATCCGTTTGTGTTTCAGTTCAATGAAAAGACAAGTTTAAATTTTAAGAGATTTATTTCTTCAATTTAAACTAACGATTTGAAATGACAATCATAGGAAAAACAATCAACATTGGCAACCTTGTTGGACAATCTTTAACAGTTGATATTTTAAGCTTGCACAAACAGACCTTGTGTTGGATGGGCTAAGATTGAGGATGATGGAATTATGAATGCGTGCAAGCAGGTGTCTGAGATTGCTTCAGGGAGAGAGAAGGTGAACTGAGTGAAAAATTATGTTTTGCAATTAAACTTTAGTTCTTATTAGAAAACCAGCATCAGAACGCTATCTGGTCGTGTTCTGCCTCACCGTACTTAGGACCCTCTTTTAGATCCGGACCTCGGAGGATGTGTTATCCAGATGACACCTTGCTGACAGAGAAGACAAAGGTGTACGACGGTCCAGTCCAGAGTTGACCTCGGTACACGTTGCTGAAGCGTTAGGCAGATGCGCTTTCTCATGTTTAAATTAACTCAGAAATCAAAAGACTCTGGGACGAGTCTGCGTTAGCTGGTTGCATTTCAGCTATTCTGTCTGGCTTGACAGAAATAGCGTGGAGGGAGAAAAGGAGCCGGCAGGGCTCCTTTCCCCGTGGCGTTCGTTCCGCACTTCTGCTCTCTTCCGTTCACACTCTCGTTCTGACTCCTTACCGAAACCTCTCTTCCCAAAGCAAACTTGTTGTGCGTCAGAGCAAATGTGTTTTGAAGTTACTGTGGATCCGGACCTGTATGAGCAGGTGTGAAGGTCATCGCTAAACATCTTCAAAAACATTATTTAATTAAGTATACTGATTCATTATAGTTCATTATGATTACCCAAAGCATAATAATCATTCATTTAATTAAAATACATTTATAATGAGCAAAGTGATCAAATGACTATTTAACATTAATAAAATAAAGGAAGCTTAAGACTCTGTTTTATTATGACTAGACTGTGTGAATTCCTTCTTCTGGAGATGCAGGTGTTCGGCTGTTGTGGATTCCTTCAGACTTGCTGGCGGCTTAGTTCTTAATCTGTGGGTGAAGGTGCTGCGTGACCCAGCTTTGACCCAGCCGGGCAAATACGACCTTTAGCACAGAAACCCATACTTCCTCACGTTACATTGGAAAATAGCAATGTGACTCTGCCACTAACTTCAACATGGAGATTTTATCTCCACTAATAACACAAGCCTGGAGGAGTTTCTGATGTGTGGTGAAGCTGCTAATGCTAACTGTTAGCTTCCGAGTCAAGATGGGTGAGTTTGTGAATGTTAAGTGACAGTGTGATGTAGACCTGTCAGACTTTAAAATTTGAAAATGGGTCTGAAGTGTTCCAAACCTGCTGTGTTTTTGTGTAGGTGTTGTTGAAAACTGTGAGACTGAGACTAACGCTGCGGAAACCGCAGCAGCCATCAAAGGACACGGCTCAGTCATCAACTTAGAGAAATACAACCTGTTTGAGATGATGTTCAACATGGAGAAAGGTGCCTGCGCTCTCGCTCAAGAAAATCTAGAAAATCCAAAACAAACACAAAAACCTGGAGACAAAGAAAAAGCACAGAGTGGAGGAAGCTCCTGGAAGCAGAAAGATGCAAACACAGCCAGTTCTGCTGCCGTCCCTCCTCATGACACGAGTAAGACGGGACTGGCTCCATGGCAGGAGGGGGTTCTGGAGCGTTTGGGCCAGGAGCTCACTCCACAGGAGTACAACATGTACATGGTGCATCATGGGCGCATGCTGCTCGCCTTTGGGCAAATCGAGGCCTGCACGCCGAGGGAGAAAGACTTTGTCTACGGCAGCCTGGAGCCGATTCCAGTCCAGACACTGCACTCCTTCAAGGTGAGGATGGTACACTGAACTTTTTAGGGACTTAAGGTCCAGTTTTACTTTAGACTCGTTGTTTGCATCAGAAACACATCACCTCAAACAACAACCTTAATATGCAGCGTGTGGTTTCATCAGATTGCCCCATTACTGTTTGCTCACAAAGCCTCATAAAACCAGACAAGAGGCGCACACAGAACATATGTTGACCTGTTTGTTGCCGAAAGGTCCCTGACAGTTATCGCTACCGCCGGCGGATTCATCTGTATGAAACAGCAGGACGAGTGCAGACCGAACCTCGAGGTGTTGACACATCACACCTGGACATCAACCAGGATGACTGGTTCGGTGATGAAGCTGCAGCAACTCTACTGGGCTACGCTGAACAAGCAGTCATGGGCCACAAGGTGTGAAGAGTAACTCAAACGATTTAATCAATTACCTTTAAAAAAAAGATCCAAAAATCCAATAAAAAACATTTGTACGACATGACATCAAGCCTTGTTTGCATTTTGCAGATCAGCGAGACAAAAGGCTCGGACGGGCTCTATGTGGACGTGGGGACACAGACTCACTTTTTCCGCTCAGCTCCGTTTGCAGGGAAAACAACTCTGGCAGACGTGATGGAGAACAAACCACTGAAGCTCCTTCTGCAGTTCCAGGCGGAAAGCGTAAGCACCAGAAACAACAAAGCCAGCTGTGTGTTCACATTCCTCTGTGGTCACACCTTCCTTCGCAGAGAGTTTGCCACACACTACAGGTCAGAGTCAGCATTAAAGGAGCAACATTCTTCTGGATGGTGTGTTTAACCATCGTAATTCTCTTTTATTACCCCAGGAATGTGCACAGTGACATCCAGATGTGTCTGAGTGGATGGTTTGAACAGAGATGCCCTCTGGCATATCTAGGATGCACCTACAGCCACAGGAGGTTTCATCCCTCCACACATGAAGCTACTGTCACTTACAAGTGAGAAATGTCTATCTGACTTCAAGGTTTTCACGGTTCAAGATATACATTTCTCTAGCAACCAGGGGTGGATCTAAGGTTTTTACACATCAGGGGTAACATAGAGCCCCCGATTTTAAAGAGAGAGGCCTAAAAAAATGTCTTTTTTGGACACCTCTAGCGATCTATAGTCATTTTCCTGCAGCCCATTCTGCCTTCTAGTTCAGAAAATGTGTTTCTCACCTTTAAATAATTTTCTATACTCGTCCATGATGTCATCATAATTTTTTTTTGCATGTAGTTTTGAATGCATGAGCTGACCTTTAGTTCACTCCACTGCAATCCCCTTTGTGCAAGAGGATTTGCATCCCTCAGCAGCAGGGAAAAGCTAATGGGCCATTCTCATCTGTACCGGGTCGGCCCGGGCCAGGTAGCGTAAGTTGTTTACATATCTGGGTGGCCTGGTATTTTTCCAGGCCACCCAAGGCTCATTCTCAGCCCTCTTCTCGAGGGGGTCTGCTTCAGGCCGACCAGGGCCAACACACCCACTGCTGACAGCAAATTCACACCTTCCATTAGAGCAAGCCTCTGATTGGTGGGTAGAATCAGCCCACATGGGCTTAAGACAAGGATGTGTGGAATCAACCGGGCCAGGCTGGGGCCGACTGGGGCTACCCGGCCCGGGCCGACCCAGTACAGATGGGAATGGCCCATAAAAGACTATCAGACAAGCAAACAGAAGGACCAAAACATTGGCGTTTCAAAATTGTCTGCGAATGGCAGCAACACTCTTTACCAAAACACTAATATCCACAAAACATCAACAATCCTTGCTTGGACCGCAAACCTCGCGAGATAAAACATGACCAAAGTAAGCAAACATGGCGGAGGAGGAGCGTGCTGTGCTGCTTTGTCACCCTGCTATCTGATTGGCTACACATCACATTCACCAAAAATCAGACCAAGACAGTCCAACAGGTTTGAAAGGCTGAATTTATAATCGGAGCGGTCCCGAAGTTCTCCAAAGTGGACTAGAGTGCTTGTAACTCACCACACAAGGTAGGAGCGTCTGAGAAGATACAGAAGTTGTGCACAACTTTGAGAAATGCCGGGACAAGGCTTACCAAAAATTGGCGTGATTATCCTGCCGTATTAAACGGGTTTAACAAGATCAGTTGAAATCTTTTTACTTTCTTACAGCCAGCAGCTGAAGTGCTTCAACTTGCGTCCGAAAGTTGAACCCTGCCTGGATAAGAGCTCTCCCGGCAGCTCTGCAGACTCCTCCATGGCTCAAATGAAGAGTACAAGTCAAGCTGAAGGAGGAGAAGACTCTCTGAGCTCACTTCCTTATGAGGTGCTGGTCCACATGGCCAGCTTTCTAGATAGCCTTTCCCTGTTTCAACTGGCTCTGGTGTCCCGGCTCATGAGGCAGGTGTGCTCCTCTCTGCTCCAGGAGAGAGGGATGGTCACGCTCCGCTGGGAGAAGATAAGCTCCTCACATGGATCCAAGTGGAGGGCAAAGCCTGTGAGATATGAACTACTTTAAACCATCAGCCTGTATTTACATTTCATGACTTTGCTCCTGTTTGTCTCCAGGTGTGGGAGTTCAGTCACCTGTTCTCCTCTGTGGATTCGTGGCACATGGCTGGCCTAACTTCGATATCTGCTCATCTAAAAGTCTGTCCGTACTACCAGACCTCTGATCAGAGCAAGCCGGTTCCTCTGCCCAGCATGAGTGAGGAAGCCGGGAGACATCTGAAAAGTCAAAGTCTCATCAAACATTTTCCAGAAAAAAGATCCAAAAACTGAAGATCATAAACAAAACTTTACTCTGCCTCTAATTTCCTAATGTCTGCCTGTGAAAAGAGAGACAGCAGGAGCAATTTGTGGCAGCGGCAGCGCGAGTGACACTTGCGGTGGCAGCTCTGACACTTCCGGGTGGTGCCACGGCTTTTAGTGGCACCTGCCGCTGCTGCCACGGTACCTGCCCATATATATATATATATATATATATATATATATATATATATATATATATATGTATATATATATATATATATATATATATATATATATATATATATATATATATATATATAGTACCTTCAATTGTTAGTTTTCTACATGAACTGAACAAGTTGGGTTTTGTTTGAAACCAACTATTGGTAAAACAAAACAAAGACAAAAATATATAAAAACATAGAAAATTGACCCAATTGCACATAGGCTGCCACCTGAAATAATAGCTTTATGGATGTGATGGCTTTGCATTACAAATACAGCCCACTGTATAAGCCTACATATAATTTTCTACATATAATTTTCCATTTTGTCATATGTGTTTTTGATATTGCTTGCATGTTAATCCTGATTTATCTTTACCCTTTTTGACATTGTATCAATATCTGTATACCTGTCTTTTAAATGTGTGTAAATTGTACATTTCCTCTAAGTGGATGGAATGTGAGGTGTGATGATGTGTGAATATGATGTTATCAGAACCCTCATTTCTGAAGAAACTGAGTTCTGAGTGGGAGTGAATTTGGTCTGCTATAAACTATGAGTGATGGTTTATAAAACCACATCACGCGCAATCTGTCGTGTCTACGTACCCTTTCGGAGACTCTCTTTTGTTTCCGAAATGTCAGGGGTCGGGTGACCCCAAGGTACCGAGGTTAGTAAGAAAAACCACAGTACGACCAGGTCACTCCAGAGTCATCTCCAGGTCACAACAACAGGTGGACTTGTTTTGTGTCTAAGAATGGACTCTGAAAGAGTCGGAGCTGTGTCAGCTGCAGCGTGCAACAGGTTTTGACAGCTTGTCAAAGATGCGTTGGGAGAAGAGTTTTCCTCCGATGGCCAGTCAGAGTTCAGCTCAACAGACTCAGTCAGGATGTGAGTTCAGATTTAATGATGGCCATATTTTGATTACATGACCAATCAGAATTTGACATGTAAAGGGGTTTTGCCAACAAACCTCAGAAACCACACCTTGCATCAGATACAGGAGTTCTGATTTGTGTAACAGAAAGCAATGTGTCATGAGATTAGTTTAACCTTGTCATCGTCACGTGTCTGAGTGTGTGAGCTGTCAATAGATAGTGATTCACTTGTTACATCAAACTTTACTGATCACAACAGACCCGCTTCTCCTCCAGCTTCACTGGCTGCCAGTCAACTTCAGGGTTCATTTCAAGATCCTGGTTCTGGTATAGGGCCTTACATGGACAAGCACCATCTTACATTGGTGATCTTCTTAGTCCCTACACCCCCAGCAGGTCCCTGAGGTCCAGTGATCAAAGCCTACTGGTTGTGCAGCGCACCAGGCTAAAGACCAAAGGTGACAGATCATTTGCTGCTGTGGCCCCCAGACTCTGGACCTCTCTCCCCCTGAGCCTGAGATCAGTGGACTCAGTGGTCTCCTTTAAAAAGCAGCTGAAGACTCACTTGTTCAAGCTGGCTTTTGTATGACCTTCTTCACCACTCTCTCTTTATTCTGCTCTCTTCCTCAGGATCCACTAATTTCCCCATTTCCAATTATTTCTCTCTTTCTTAACATTTTTTTAAATCACAATTGTCTATTTTTGCTCATTTTAAATATATTTTTAAACATTTTCTAAATGCTTTTTTATATTTTTACATTTTTTGTTTTTGTGAAGTGTCTCGTGATTTTTATCTTGAGAGGCGCTATAGAAATTATATTTTCTTCTTCTTCTTCTTCAAGAAGAAATGGGAGTGAAACAAAACATTTTTCTGAGCAGAAATTTTTTGAAATCAGTAATTTAACTGAAACTGGCTATTTTATAGCTGATCAATAGTTCATAACCCACGCCTTTAAAAGGCCAAAACTGAGCAGAACTGGATTTCTTGTCATTTACTGTCAGGCGGTAGCACTGTCATGACATTCTGATAGCAAAAGCAGGCAAAAAAAAAGCTTCACATTTGAATGTGGTCGGGCTGTTGAACTGCATAAGTAGGCTTTCTCAGAGAGTGCTGTCGCTGCTGAGGTGGGACACAGGTGAATTAAGCTGCTCTGCAGCTGCAGAATCATGCAGAAAATTGGAGGTTGTTCTACATGTGGCAAGGTGGAGAAACAAAGGCGCGGGCAGGATTTGATCCCCAGACTCCTGGGTGAGAGTCACGCGCACTACTCAGTCAGCCAAACGGACCTCCACCTTGCCACATTTGGCGTTGTTGGCAGGATCCATGTAGTACTGTCAAGTAGGTCCATGGATTTGAAGTTTGTGGCACCCTGCGCGGGAGCACGGGGGCGTGATTGTGGAAAGAGGGGGGAAGATGTGACAGTAAATGGCCTGTATTTGATATAGCGCCTTCTAGAGTCATGGAACCCCTCAAGGCACTTTACAACACAATCAGTCATTCACCCATTCACACACACATTCACACACTGATGGTGATGAACCACGATGTAGCCACAGCTGCCCTGGGGCGCACTGACAGAGGCGAGGCTGCCGAGCACTGGCGCCACCGGTCCCTCCGACCACCACCAGCAGGCAACGTGGGTTAAGTGTCTTGCCCAAGGACACAGCGACAGACTGAGCGGGGCTCGGACCTGCAACCTTCATATTACGGGGCGAGCACTTAACTCCTGTGCCACCGTCAGAATGAGCGTCCTGTCACTGTGACCCGATTGATCATGTATCGCGTCAGACCCGTGCCACAACCCGTGCACGCGCATTGGGTCCACAGCGCGCGTGTGAACGGGACTCGCGAGCGAAAATATACATGGCAGCGCGCGCGTGAACGGGACTCGCGAGCGAAAATATACATGGCGAGAGGTCATTTGTGCACTGAGAGGGAGCAAACTGTGTCTGTGAGCGCACAAGGATGTGCACAAGTGACAAACCTGCGTGCGCGCGTTGCCAACGAGCACACGGCAGAGGAAAACCTGCGCGCGCGGCAGGCTCTCTGAGCGCTCGGCAGCCTCTGCGCGCTCGGTTTCTAATTCCGCTCGCTCGGCTGTGAGGAGTTTTGGCACTCTGGAGGCGTGGCCTGTGGCAGATCTTCCCTGTCCTCTGATTGGTTAGTTCACCCCGCACTTTACTCTCTACCTATCTATATAAAAAAAATCTAAGATTCAACAGTTGCTGTCATAGCTCAGCTGGGAGAGCGGGTGACTCTCACTCTGGAGGATCCAGGTTCGAGTCCGGCCAAGGAACATAGAGTTGATGTCATATTATTCTTTCCTAATTCCTGTGATATTATTTTACAGTTGTGACCGTTCAACTGTCATTAAACGTCCGAATGTTTGCTGGGCAGTGTTTTAAAAAGTGCACATAAGCTAGATGGTTTTTACCAGGTAAAAATAGACTTGTGGGTGTAGGTATGTTCAACTTTAAAAAGTTCTTGCCTCATTAATGTATTGTTTATTTTTTTCAGCATTTAATTGACAAATTATCCTTTCAAATAATTAATTGATGAGTTACATAATTGTCCATTTAGAATTGTTGAATGGACTGAGTCAAGTTTGGTGCACTTTATATATTTCAAAACATGTTTTTTTTTTATTTTAATTATGCATATAAATAATTTTTATGTTAATTTATTGAAATATTTCTATTTTTTCATTACCTCACCCTTGTTTTGACAAAAACAAGACCTTGCTGGATAATATCATGGAGAAACTATTTGTTCACAGTACATGGCTCAGTGAGGATCTGTATACCAAAGGAGGAGATACTCAGAAATCTGTCTGCAGATTGTTACAACCCAGACTGGAAGTGGCGGGCTGTAATAAGAAAGGAGACCAAACAGAGGAGTGGGGGGTTCAACAACTGATTTATTTAACCACAGTAAGGATTTACTAAAGCAAGTTAGTGAACAGAAAATGGCCATCTCAAGGTTTTACTCGGATGTCCCTCAGCAGGGTGCAGCACTGTTGAAGGTCATCTGAATGAAAGCTTGATATGCAGCTTCTTTATGAAAGTGTGTAAATATACAGTGTGGTTGCCGTACATATGTTGAGGTTCTCAGACATCAGGCTTCTTTGCCCAGGCCTTCACTAGTGGGCTATTTTAAAAGTTGGTAAGGAGAAAAACCACAGCATATAGCTGATTGTTTACAAATGCAAGGAGGGGAATAACAATCAAAAACCTAGTGTTCTTGGACCAGATGAATGGAGCGCTCCACATGCACTCAGAGATGTTATGGCTTCTGTTTCTATAACTTTACATGCAGACATTTGAGGTTTGCCAGAAAGAAAAGCTGGCCTGTACACTTTGCAGGGCACAATGTCATCAATGAAGAAACCCCTGTCTACCATGATGACCATCTCTAGTTGTAGCATTTTCAACACACCAGATTCCCAGGTTGGTCGCTGATAGTTCCAGCATACAGTGCTGAGACAAAGGTCACTGGCCTATGTGGCACAATCCAAATGAGCCTCTTCAGAGTGCAGTTGAACTTGAGGAAAATATATGACTCTGGAAGAGAGGGGAATATGGCCATTGACACCTCAGATCAGTGCAGTCAAGAATTACTGGTGTTTGGGTAGTCCTGAACGTGTTGTGATGCCCCCACCGTCTCATTGGGTTTTCATTTGTGTTTAATTGTGTTTTTCTTCTGTTGTAGGCAGCTGGTTAAGCAGCCTTGGAGGCACCTGGGCTCAGGGTGTGGTGCTGCCTACAAAGCCTACTGTTTTTCTGCTTTCACTGGGTCTCTCCTGTGTGGTGGAGAGTCCTCACTGGCCATTTTCTGTTCACTAACTTGCTTTAGTAAATCCTTACTTTGGTTAAATAAATCAGTTGTTGAACCCCCCACTCCTCTGTTTGGTCTCCTTTCTTATTACAGCCCACCACTTCCAGTCTGGGTTGTAACAATCTGCAGACAGATTTCTGAGCATCTCCTCCTTTACACAGATCCTCACTGAGCCATGTACTGTGAACAAATAGTTTCTCCGTGATAATATCCAGCAAGGTCTTGTTTTTGTCAAAACAAGGGTGAGGTAATGAAAAAATAGAAATATTTCAATAAATTAACATTAAAATTATTTATATGCACAATTAAAATAAAAAAAACATGTTTTGAAATATATAAAGTGCACCAAACTTGACTCAGTCCATTCAACAATTCTAAATGGACAATTATGTAACTCATCAATTAATTATTTGAAAGGATAATTTGTCAATTAAATGCTGAAAAAAATAAACAATACATTAATGAGGCAAGAACTTTTTAAAGTTGAACATACCTACACCCACAAGTCTATTTTTACCTGGTAAAAACCATCTAGCTTATGTGCACTTTTTAAAACACTGCCCAGCAAACATTCGGACGTTTAATGACAGTTGAACGGTCACAACTGTAAAATAATATCACAGGAATTAGGAAAGAATAATATGACATCAACTCTATGTTCCTTGGCCAGACTCGAACCTGGGTCTTCCAAAGTGAGAGTCACCCGCTCTCCCAGCTGAGCTATGACAGCAGCTGCTGAATCTCAGATTTTTTTATATAGATAGGTAGAGAGTAAAGTGCGGGGTAAACTAACCAATCAGAGGACAGGGAAGATCTGCCACAGGCCACGCCTCCAGAGTGCCAAAAGCCCTCACAGCCGAGCGAGCGGAATTAGAAACCGAGCACGCAAAGGCTGCCGAGCGCGCAGAGAGGCTGCCGCGCGCGCACGTTTTCCTCTGCCGTGTGCTCGTTGGCAAAGCGCGCACGCAGGTTTGTCACTTGTGCACATCCTTGTGCACTCACAGACACAGTTTGCTCCCTCTCAGTGCACAAATGACCTCTCGCCATGTATATTTTCGCTCGCGAGTCCCATTCACGCGCGCGCTGCCATGTATATTTTCGCTCGCGAGTCCCGTTCACACGCGCGCTGTGGACCCAATGCGCGTGCACGGGTTGTGGCACGCTTTAAACGCCATAATCATGCACCCTGGCTACTTGGCCAAGGGGAATTCCCTTTGGCTGACTGGTCAGTGCGTGTGACCCTCACCCAGGAGCCTGGGGATCAAATCCTGTCCAGCCCCTCATCTCTCCACCCTCTCACATACACCCATACAGACATTCCTAAAAAAATAAAGCAATAAAAATAAATAAAACATTTTCCCTCCTTTAGAGTAAAAGGATCTATTGTCTTAAACATTGGTTTTATCTTCCTCCCTGAAGAGTTAAGAAAGAATAAAATCATAATGAGTTACAAAATGTTCTAAAACTAAGATGTTCTCACTAAATAAACGAAACAGAAAGGAACAATAAATCTGACATGAGGGTGCATGCAAAAGCAGTCACCCTCATGTAGCCCCTCCTCCTCCCCCGACATGCTGCTGCTGCTGCTGCTGCTGCTTGGTGGCACTAATCACCCGTCATACAGCGCTTTGTTGTGAGCGCAGCGCCGCACTGCACGTAAAATCGGAAGGTTAAGAGAAGGTTATTTCTAATCAGCCTGCTTCTCCTGCAGGATTCATTCAGAATTTGCAAAATACAGGCAGTGAGGCAGCTCGCCACGCATGCAACGAGGAAACGAGGGTCGTTTGCTCCATTTCCGCTGCAGCAAGGACAGAGGCACCGGTCGGAGGTCCATGAGAGGCTCTCTGGAGAAGACACAGCTTCAGCATCACAGTAGGCCATAGTCAGAGCAGCTTTTGAAAATATTGTCGGAACGCAAGATCATTTGCAGCCGAAAATACATCTCAGTCTATGTGCACAAGTTACATCAAGTGAGACTCATCCAGCTGCAAACATCTGTGCTCAGGTTGTGTGGAGGAGGTTGAACCATGGATGGAGGGAGGCTGGAGCAGCAGGTGGCCAGTGTAGAGAGGGGGATCATCTTCCTGAAGCAGGAACACCTGGTCATGCTGACCGGGCTTCAGCTGGAGATCTCACACCTGAAGAGGCGCTGTCACGGTCAGTCTGGGCTTCTCCAGCGTATTATAAATCCTCTTCCTCGTCTTTAATGGAATTATTCCTCTGACAGAGCTGAGCTGTGAGCTGGACTCCAGGTTTCCTGACAGAAACGCGACAGGTAAGAAAACTGCTCTGCACAGATAAAGTGCAACACATTGTAACTATAGTCAACCCTGGACAAATCAAATTGAAATGATCCTTTGATCTTTCATTTTATTTAAAACTATCATATAATTTATTTTTCAGAATAAATGATAACAAAATAGAATAAATATTTTAAAATTTGACATAATATAAAACATATGTTCAGTTCATAAAATACAACCTTTGATTGCTGTTTTTGTCATAAAGGCACATTTTTCTGCTTAAATATCAAGATAAAAAAAGACACTCAACGTTTGCATTATTTGTCTTTATTGTATGATGACGTATTAGTGCCATTGGATGGGGGGAAAGATGAAAGCCCATCTCACCATCATTCATTCAAGGACTAACAGATAGGAATTTGTTATATTGGCAGAAACTTTGCAGGTTTTCATTTTCTTACTTGCACACATGTGAGTAAAACATTCTGAGCACAAATCTGTTCCTCTGTGTCTCCCAGAGGAGGAAGAAGAGTTGGCAAATCGCTGTGAGGCTGCAGAGCGCCTCCTGGAGCGCCAGCAGTGCGTGATGGTCACGGCACGTGGGGAGCTGCGAGTCAGCCAGGCTCGAGCTTTTGCACTCGGAAGGAGCCTCAAGGAGGAAGAACGACGCTTCCTGGAGGAGCTAAAGCGCCGCAGTCACAAGATCACGCTGCTGAATCAAGAGCTTCAACACCAAAATGTTGTAACGACGACCCTCCATCACGAACTTCACGTTGCACGGTTAAAACTCTTCCAGCAGCACCAAAGCGCAGGTGCTGCTGCAGGAGGAGAGGAGGAAGGCAGAGGTAATGAGGAGGAAGAAGAGGAGGACGAGGAAGATGGAGACTCGGAATGGCTCTTGTCTCCACATCCTCCTGCCTCATTGAACCAATCAGAGACGAGACACAGGAGGAGCGTCAGTGTGAGGGAAGAACGGGTGAGAGCCTGCATCCCACAGGAGAGAGTGACATACCCACAGAGGCCACACTCCATGCCTGACCCAGCCCTCTTCCTGGTGCCACTCAGGTACCGCCTCCTTCGCTTGAGCCAGCCAATAGGATCACAGGATGAGGATGGTGGAGAGGATGAGTGGGAGGACATAGAGGACAACAGGGTCCACAGGAGGGTGGACATGGGAGCAGGGGAGGGAGAAACTGCTCTCTGACAAAAGTCTCTGCAGGTGTCCAACAGCTTCGGTTTTAGAGGTTTCCGTGGAGACAGATGTAACTTTGTGATTGTCTGTAGGTTCCAGATTGTTTGTTACTTTTCTAGCTAACACATTTAGATCCATCCATCTATTTTCTTCCGCTTATCCGGAGTCGGGTCGCGGGGGCAGCAGCCTAAGGCGAGAGGCCTAGACTTCCCTCCCCCCAGCCACTTGGGCCAGCCCCTCCGGGGGAATCCCAAGGTGGTCCCTGGCCAGGTGAGAGACATAGTCCCTCCACCGTGTCCTGGGTCTACCTTTAGGTCTCCTCCCGGTTGGACGTGCCCGGAAAACCTCACCAGGGAGGCGTCCAGGAGGCATCCTGACCAGTTGCCTGAGCCACCTCAACTGGCTCCTCTCGATGTGGAGGAGCAGCGGGTCTACTCCGAGCCCCTCACGAATGACCAAGCTTCTCACCCTACCTCTAAGGGAGAGCCCAGCCACTCTTCGGAGAAAACTCATTTCGGCTGTAACGGAATGAAATGACTGTTTTCCACCTAAAGTAATTTTCCCCCTCTCCTCTGACACAGAACTAGTCAGCAGGAGATATGGCCTCAAGGTCTCATGCATTTGTTAACTGCTTCTTTCCAGCTCAACAGAAGAATGAAGAATGGACTCTCTCCTTTTAATAAATTAAAGAACTCTATTTTTAATAAAGCTAATCAAACAGTTAGTCAATAATAAGATGTGATCAATCTGTGAAATCAAAATATTAATTACTTTATTATAATCCTGTAGAATATAATAAGTAATATGACTTTATATGTTCCACTAGGACTGGTCTCACGTAGCGTTAAAAGCGTCGACATAATATACGTGACACATTGCTTTCACTGATCCAATCAGAATCTGCCAGATCTGACGGAGGCGTGGTTTTGGTGGTGCTTGGTGAATCTGTCATCTTTTCATTCGACCATAAACCAAAACATCCGAAGTATAAAACTATGCCAGAGTCATCTTTAACGCAGTTCAAAGCTTTCTAGAGAAGTTGTCCAAGTGGCCATTCCGTAACTTTCCTCTTCAGCCAAATGAACCAACGACAAGCTGGATAAAATCTGTTGCTGTTCCAACTGCTGCAACGGTTCCTTTCAGAATAAAAGCTGAACCATCATGACCCGGGTTTGGGTCTCGCTAGAAGCCATCAAAACTGTCGTGACCCGGAAGTATCTCAAGACTGGTGGTCGGCTGCCGTGGCTGCTTCTGCAGGCTTCGGCTCCATATAGGTTTAGCTGGGCCTTTATACCTCCTGATCTAACGGGGACTTCTGCTAAGGGTACGTAGACTGACAGAATGGCGTCGAATGAGTTTATGAATCTCCTAACCAAAGCTTAGCGTGAAGACATCACCTTCGTTTCCCATCAGAACTAATCGCTTCTTTGTATTTGCTGGTTCTGAGCAACATTCCACACTACACCATTCTCTGTCTCATTCACCTTAGTTACACCATACATTTAGTGTTTCAGTTAGTCTAGTTCTAATTTGATTAGTAATAAATCTTTAAACTTTTAAACTTGACTCTCTCTCTTCTGTTGTCTCTGAATTAATACGACGCTGTTATCTAATCCCTGCAATATAAAGTTCCAATCTTCTGGTTAAACAGATCCATAAGGTTGATTTCATATTTGCTATGGAATCTTATGCCTTATGGCTTATTAAATAACATGTAAATTAAACTCATTTCAGCCACTTGTATCCGCGATCTCGTTCTTTCGGTCACTACCCAAAGTTCATGACCATAGGTGAGGGTAGGAACGTAGATCAACTGGTAAATCGAGAGCTTTGCCTTCTAACTCAGCTCTCTCTTCACTACAACAGACCGGTACAATGCCCGCATCACTGCAGATGCAGCACCAATCCACTTATCGATCTCACGCTCCAGTTTTCCCTCACTCGTGAACAAGACCCCGAGATACTTAAGCTCCTCCACTTGAGGCAGGACCTCATCCCTGACTTGGAGAAGGCATTCTACCCCTTTCCGAATCAAGACTATGGTCTCAGATTTAGAGGAGCTGATTCTCATCCCAGCTGCTTCACACTCGGCTGCGAACTGCTCCAGCGAAAGCTGAAGATACGTTCTGATGAAGCCAACATGACCACATCATCTGCAAAAAGCAGAGACCTGATCCTCAGGCCACCAAAAGGGATGCACTCCACACCTTGGCTGCACCTAGAAATCCTGTCCATAAAGGTTATGAACAGAATCGGTGACAAAGGGCAGCCTTGGCGGAGTCCAACTCTCACTGGGAACGAGCCCGACTTACTGCCGGCAATGCTGACCAAGCTCTGACACCGGTTATGTAGGGACCTAACAGCCCGTATCAGAGGGCCTGGTGCCCCATACTCGTGGAGTACCCCCCACAGGGCCTCCCGAGGGATGCGGTCAAACGCCTTCTCCAAATCCACAAAATATAGCATCCCTAACTGCCAGTGTCCACCAGCGGGTTCGGGGGGTTGCCAGCACGACAGGCACTGACGATCATGCGACCACAGCTCCGGTCGGCCGCCTCAACAATGGAGGCACGGAACAGGGTCCATTCAGACTCAATGTCCCCCGCCTCCCCCGGAACATTTTGGAAGTTCTGTCGGAGGTGGCAAGCTCCTTCTGACAGGAGACTCTGCCAGACGTTCCCAGCAGACCCTCACGATAAGTTTGGGCCTGCCTGGTCTGACCGGCATCCTCCCCCACCATCTGAGCCAACTCACCACCAGGTAGTGGTCAGTTGACAGCTCCGCCTCTCTCTTCACCCGAGCGTCCAAGACATGCGGCCGCAGGCCAGATGAAACGACAACAAAGTCGATCATCGAGCTGCGGCCTAAGGTATCCTGGTGCCAAGAGCACATATGAACACCTTTATGTCTGAACATGGTGTTCATTATGGACAATCCATAACTGGCACAGACGTCCAATAACAAAACACCACTCGAATTCTGATCAGGGGGGCCGTTCCTCCCAACCACACCTCTCCAGGTCTCACTGTCGTTGCCCACGTGAGCGTTAAAGTCCCCCAGCAGAACGAGGCACCGGAAGTAGCGCTTTCCAGCACCCCCTCCCAAGGTCTCCAAAAAGAGTGGGTAGTCTGAACTGTAGTTTGGTGCATAAGCACAGACCACAGTCAGAAACCCCCCCCCCCCCCCCCCCACACACACACACACACACACACACACGTAGGCAGAGAGAGGCTACCCTCTCATTCACTGGGGTAAACCCCAACACACAGGCACCATGATGGAGGGCAACTAGTATGCCCACCCCTGCTCGGCGCCTCTCAGTGGGAGCAACTCCAGAGTGGTAGAAAGTCCAACCCCTCTCAAGGAAACTGGTTCCAGAGCCATGCGTTGAGGTGAGTCCGACTACATCTAGTCGGAACCTCTCAACCTCACACACCAACTCAGGCTCCTTCCCCACCAGAGAGGTGACATTCCATGTGCCAAGAGCCAGCTTCTGTAGCCGAGGATCAGACCGCCAAGGTCCCCGCCCTTGACCACCACCCGTCACACACTGCACCCGACCCCTTTGGCCCCTCCCACGAGTGGTGAGCCCATGGGAAGGGGGACCCACGTTTCGTCTTTGGGCTTTGCCCAGCTGGGCTCCATGGGTGAAAGCCAGGCCACCAGGCGCTCGCCAACGTGCCCCACCTCCAGTCCTGGCTCCAGAGGGGGGCCCCGGTGACCCACGTCCGGTCGAGGGAACACGGTTTCCATTTATATAATTCATCATAAGAGGTCTTCAGGCTGCTCTTTGTTTGATCCCTCACCTAGGACCTGTTTGCCATGAGTGACCCTACCAGAGGCAGAAAGCCTCAGTTAACTTAGCTCCTAGGATCATTGAGACACTCAAACCCCTCCACCACGGTAAGGTGGCAGCCCAGGGAGAGGCTAGGAAGGTTTCATGAATTTTAATTAAGATTTTTTTTACCACAACAATCATATTTCTGTTTTTATTCATTTAACCCCTGGTAGTGAAACATTTTCTGGCCTTAAACTGATGGAATATTAGTCTTAGTGGAGCATCTACAGATGGCAACGGCCAATTCATTTCTGTTGTATTGTTATATAATTTCACAATAAAATGTAATTATTATTTTACAGTTGTTATTTTGCAATTAACAAATAAATCAATTTTTTTAATGCCATTATTATTCATATTTAAATGTTCAGGCTTTAATGTGTGAAACGGGTCTCCTAACGTCTGAAGAAATTAAAGTTTTTCATGTTTTGCTCAAGTTGTAATTTTTATGGAACTCCATTAACAGATTAAGCAACTTTAAACACAAACAAAGATGGTAAGGCACACCCACGTGTCTCCTAAAGCAGGTATTTGAACATTTCCATGGTTATGTCACCTCAGGATGCCGATGCAGCGTCGCCGTGGCAACCTCATTGCTGCCCCTCAACTCAGTCATAATAAACCTGCGAGAAGATATGCTCCTATTGATTTCTTTAATAACACAGCCTGCTTCACCTATTTTTACAGTGTGGGCGCTGAAAAGGGACAAAAAAGACCATAAATGTGTTGTCCGGAGGAAACGTACAGTGTGATGGTTAAAACTTTTTATTTTTTTATGTTGAAATCTTTCAAAAAGCTCTAGGTGGCAGTAACAGCTCCACGCTGCTGTTATTTGTTCACCACCGTATAAAAATAACCCTTGAGCCAGTGCTGAACACAGGAAGTTGCATCATCGATGATGCTGGGAGGTTGTCCTCTTCTGGACTCAGATGGTTACTACATCTGTGAGGACAGGCCTCACAGGCTCCGTCACCACTCCCCTCTCTCCACTCATGAAGGACACACACACACACACACACACACACACACACACACTCTGGGACGCACACTTTGTGTAATGCGGTTTGACGACAAGGACCGGGATGCTTGGAGCGTCAGAGGAGAGCTGGAGACATCCTGCTCTCTGAATTCAGCAGGATGGTGAGCAAAGGGTCTCGGAGAAGATGAAACGACGTGACAGACTGTGTCTTTCTCTGCCGGACGGTGGGTCTCACGTGTGTGAGGGACAAAATCAGACTTTATTGTTTCTGGGAGTCTTTTTGTTCCGTTTAACGATCTTGTGAGATCTAAAAGTGTGTGCTACTGCTGTAAAAATAAAGGTATTTGTGTTGTTTTAGGTGGTACCTTTAAACATCAAACATCTTCTCATTTATTTTTGTTCATAGCAACACCTGAAAATATATGTTCTCTCTAATGAATTACTGAGATGTGAGAAATGGTAGAAATATCTATCAAATAGTCACTCAAATAAACAAAAAACTGAATCTTTTTGTAACTTTTTATTCTGCTTTACTTGAACAGTCCTGTGCACCAAGGAATCATGGGAAACATCCTCCAGTGCTGCCGCGCTCTGTCTCACTGCTTCAAACACCCGGATGCTTCAGCTGGGGGTGGGTCTGAACAATCCCGTCTCCTGTCCAGTGAGGAAAGCGAATGTGACTCCTGGAGCCTGACGTTCAACCCGGAGGATGATCTGTTCACCATCTCCATCGGCGTGACCCTTCCCACCCTTCAACCGGATCACTTCCTGTTTCCTGACATCATCCTGAGCAGCAGCCCGGGAGAAGAAGTGACTCTGGTGGAGCCGATGGTGTGTCTGCTGGTTTCTGAGGAGGAAGAGGCTCTGGGGGATGATGACATAGAAGGTGAAGATGTGAGGAGTAACAGGGAGATCCAAACTCAGACTGACGCTCGGAGACAAACACTTCAAAGCAATAAGAAAGAAAAAGATGAAACGGAAGGGGGACAGAGAGTTTTGGAGGCAAATGAAGATCCACAAACTTCACAGGATGGAGAATCAGAACTTAAAACTGAAAAGAAAATAAAGAAAAGTGTAAAATTAGACATTTTTAGTGAGGAAAACACCCTAAGCAAGATTAAAACCACTTCAACACAGCTGCAACACAACAGGGAGCATCAGGAGGACTCTGGTGTCTTTGAGATGGAGCAACATCCTGAGAGCATCCTGAAAGAACAAAATAATACCAGCATGGATGAAAACATCACCTTGGAGACGCAGAAGACAGTAAAACACAAGAAAAGCAACCCCGGATTTCAAATTTATCCAGTTGAAAGTTGAAAAGACCTGAGATCGATCACAGACTCAACAGCAGCATGTTTGTGACACAATGGCTGCTGTAGAGGAGGGAGACGAAGGATCTGGACCAATCCAAATGTTTTTAGGTGACCTGGGAGCATCAGCAGTCAACGATTAGTGAATTTAACTTCCTCTACATGTTCCCCTGTAAAGTTTTGTGACAATCTTTTAAGGTTTTGTGAGAAAACACAAGAATTTTAATGAGAATTCCATTTTAAGAACCAGTAAAGGATGTGAAGACATCTTTATCAAAAACTAACAAAGAACAGAAAAAATAAAGGGAAACTAGATTCTGGAAAGTTGAATCTGTTATTTTAGGTTTTGTGTGAAAATAAGCCCAGGACTATAAATGCGCTTCACAAAAGTGATGTAATGGAACCAGACACGAAGAATGCAGGGAAAAGGGCTGTGAGTTCAGCGAACTTCAAATCCTAAGTTCCCGCAGGAGGAAAGGACCACCATAAATCTGTAGCGGCTACGCTAGGGGAGAGATGAAGTGGTGACGTTACATAGTGACGTGCCGATGTATTAATGCTAATTACGAACTTGTACAAGCTGAAGGATATTGATGTAAAGTGTTCATTTTGCAACGTACACCCTGAAACTACTTCACATTTATTCTGGTCGTGTGAGTTTACTTACAAGTTTTGGAAAGATGTCAATTCATTCTTAACTCACAACATTCTTCCTGATTTCTCCCTGTTCTATAAAAATGTCATTTTTGGTTGTTTTGGAGGCAGTGGTAAAGATAACGATGCACTCTTTCTGATAAACTTGATTTTATTTGTTGCTAAGTTCCATATCCATAAATCTAAACTCTGTAATAAAAAGCCATTTTTTCCTGTGCTAAGAGCAGAACTGGAACAGTATATATCCACCATTTCTTGTGTACAGAACAAAAAAGCAGTTAAAACTCTGAATACTTGTACGCTGTTTAATGCACTTGTTTAATTACTCTTGTGTTTACTTCATTTCTGTTTATTTATTTTGTTTATTTGCCTTTTACTCTCTTGTGTATGTATTACATCTTTTTTATATTATTATTTGCCATATTTGTATATCTGACTGTTTGATTGAAGGATTTGAATTAAAAAAAAAACTTGTACAAGCTGAAAAATCTCAATGTAAGTGACTGGCGTAGTTGAAACACCCATCTTTTCATTTAAATCACAGTACAACATATGCATGATCCAGGGTATAAGGCTAAGCGGATTAGAAAAGAACGTTTTTAGCCCCTTTGACTCAAGAGCATCTGGCTGCAGACATCAGCTGGCGTCTTTGCCGTGACAGGAAATGACGTATCCCGAAAAACAAGTGTCATTACCTTCGCCGGAAGTCATTACCTTTGCCGGAAGTAGTTTTTTTTCGGGTCATTACCTTTGCCGGAAGGAGTTTTTTTTCTTGAATACACTTTAATGACAAAGCACAAAAGTAGTTTGGATTTGTCAAAACCATACCGTGTCGCTTTTCTCTTCGATTTGTACACATTTAAGAGAAAAATTACACGGTGGGTCATTACCTTAACCAGAAGTCATTACTTTCACTGGAAGTAGTTTTAAAAAAAAACAAAACTTACCGGAAAAAGCTTTTTATTTCGGATTTTTTTTTCTCTTCATATCTGGACTGGCAAACTTAAGTAACGTTGTTACCTGCATTGCATGAAAATTGAATATTAAATCCCTTTGTTCTCCAGACAGGGAATTTTTATGACAGTAGCACATACATACATACATACATACATACATATATATGTGTACACACACACACACACACACACACATATAAATGTATATATACACACACACACAATAAAAGACTGTAAAGTGAATTAAAAAACATATGGATAAAATGAGAACACGTTAAACTAAGACTTTTCAAAATGTGCAAACAAAATAGTACTGGCTAAATATTCAGTTTTATTGTTAAGCCCAAGATGAACTTTTGACCTACACCAGTTGCTAAAGTACAGGACTCCCAGAAGCAGTGAAAAACATTTCAGCAACACTCCTCTCTCACCAGCAACAAAAATTAGTTATTAAATATCCACAACACTGTCCTACTGTGTATCACAGCAGCTCATTGCCACAGAATTTAACTACTACAGCTGATAACTATTTAGCTAGTTGGTATTTATTTTGAGTGAAAGACAATAAAACCAAAGAAACACTTGATTTCACAACCATTTTATTTTGGGTACAAATGAATTTGCTGAAGCATGGCTTTCTCAGCTGCATATCGATTCATCCCCTCCCATTTTTCCAACACTTTTATTGTTACCTGAAAAACATGCAGGATTACTTCAACGTCGTCGTCTTCCTCCGCTTATCCGGGTCCGGGTCGCGGGGGCAGCATCCCAACTAGGGAGCTCCAGGCCGTCCTCTCCCCGGCCACCTCCACCAGCTCCTCCGGCAGGACCCCAAGGCGTTCCCGGACCAGATTGGAGATGTAACCTCTCCAACGTGTCCTGGGTCGACCCGGGGGCCTCCTGCCGGCAGGACATGCCCGAAACACCTCCCCGGGGAGGCGTCCAGGAGGCATCCTGACCAGATGCCCAAACCACCTCAACTAACTCCTTTCGATCCGGAGGAGCAGCGGTTCTACTCCGAGTCCCTCCCGAATGTTCGAGCTCCTCACCCTATCTCTAAGGCTGAGCCCGGCCACCCTACGGAGGAAACTCATTTTGGCCGCTTGTATCCGCGATCTCGTTCTTTCGGTCGTTACCCAAAGCTCATGACCATAGGTGAGGATTGGGACGTAGATCGACCGGTAAATCGAGAGCCTGGCTTTCTGGCTCAGCTCCCTCTTCACCACGACAGATTGGTTCAGCGTCCGCATCACTGCAGACGCTGAACCAATCCGCCTGTCGATCTCCCGATCCCTCCTACCGTCACTCGTGAACAAGACCCCGAGATACTTAAACTCCTCCACTTGAGGTAGGACCTCTCCCCCGACCCGGAGTTGGCAAGCCACCCTTTTCCAGTCGAGAACCATGGATTTGGAGGTGCTGACCCTCATCCCAGCCGCTTCACACTCGGCTGCGAACCTACCCAGCAAGAGCTGAAGGTCAGAGCTGGGTGAAGCTAGGAGGACCACATCATCCACAAAAAGCAGAGACGAGATTCTCCTGCCACCAAACTCTGTTAAGGATTACTTCATACACTGTCAAATGTTTTTCGAAAAGTAACTTTTATACCAATCACTGCTGAAGACTGCGTTGTACCTCTGGAACAAGGACATCAAACACCAAGTCCAGAAACTGGAACTCTCTCTTCTTTATTAGTTTATCTATTCCTGAGCATGAACCAATCCGCTCTGTCAGCTCGTCAACCTATAAAACACGTTAACATAAAAATGAACAAAACATTCCTCTCAGCATTAGACAACGGACCCAGGTGGCCCACTGACCATGCATCCACATAAATAAATGTGATGCAGCTTATTGTAAGTCAGTATACATTTACCTGTGCATCAGCAAAGTGGAACATCAGTGGCTTTAGTCTTTGCTTTAATTTAAGCGAGACACCTGGATTGTGCCACAGATACATGCGGCCAGACTTCACTCCACCGCTGCAGAGATCCTTATACACAGTCTGAGTAGAGACAAGAGTTAAAAATAAGCAACATTACCACAGATAACAAGAGATTGCATTATCCTATGTCAAATTTTAGAGTCTTAATTTATTATAATTAAACATTACCTTGATTTCACCATCTGAAATCACTGCCTGGGTTCCATTTTTCAAAGCCTCGATTGTCCTGTAATTTTGATAAAAATACATCTTATTAGCAAATGAAGAATACAAGCACATGTAAGGAGTTTTGTCAGTGTCACTTGAAGAAGTCCGATATTTATTTTAGATCTATATTTAAGGCCTGTAACTCCTGAATGATTTGCAGCTACATGTGCTTAAATCCGGTAATATTAATATAAACCAAACCCGATCAAAGCAGTCAGTCGACAAAAATATCTATTTTTTATAAGGATAGGATTATTCTGAAACAGAATCAGAAGGAGGGCGGCATTAATTAGAGAAGCGGCTACTATTTCAAAGTTATTGTACCTGTTGCAGGACACCTGATTTGTGCAACCACAGTAGAATGACCCAGCACAATACCACACACAATAACTGAAAAATATTTAGAGATATTGAAAGCTAAGCTTGTCCAGAAAATACATTTTATTTCTGGGTGCACAGGACCAGTTCCAGTGTGGGCCAGATGCTGAAAAATAAATTCATAAATCTGTCTTTTTTTGAAGTTTCACAAATCACAAACTATGTTTTATGCATTCCTACGAGCCCAGAATAATCTAAAACAGGTTTGAAGAGTGTATGTATTGTAGGTGTTGAGCTAGAGCAGAATAAAAATGGTCAGAGTAGAAAAAAATTGGGTGTATTAGCCCTTTAGCCATTTCCCGAATCGGAAGCTAACTTTAGCCTCGTATGAAAACTAGTGATTGAAATCACTTACAAATCTCTTAAAATCTACGCTTTTTAATTAAAAAAGGGTATTAATAACGTTTCAGTCAAGTCAGCATTAGAAATCGTGGTCTTTATATCATATCTAAATTATATATAAAGTTAATATTATTACTTTAACTGTTTTAACAAACAGGGAGACCAGAAAAATCAAATAGCTAAGTTAAAGCTAAGCTACAATTGCTGATAGCTTTATTTATGTAGCTTTTGTGTTAGCTAGCTTGTGATCTCCCTGCATTCGTTTTAAGACTGCGTGTTAATATTGATACAATTAGCTATGAAACACGGTGCCTTTGCAATAATTCTCTGGTAAAGCTTTAAACGCTACAGTGCCTACATTTATGAACTAAGAACGGTTGCAACAATTAGTTAATTTCATCCTTATCCTTACCGTTCCTCAATTGAAACCCGCCGAGTATGGTTGAAACAAAAACAACGTAGCGGCCGCCAAAAAAAGACCAACTTCCTGCCGAGGTCTTTCGCTCGTCGATTTTCCGGTAAAAGTAATGACACGCCATCTTGCTCTCGACACACCAGCTGATGTCTGCAGCCAGGTCCTACTCCTTTGACTTGCATTCATTTTTTCGTTTTTCCGGGGACCCGTGAGCCGACCGGAAGGGGAGGAGACTGAGGCTCCCTTTTGTATCCCTTTAAACAGCCTGCAGAACAAGAAGTACCACAGACATATATATGTCTATGTGAGTGTACTGTAATCCAGACAGAAATAACCTCACAGAACTTTATTTATTTATTTATTTATTTGCATGAATACGATTGGCCACCAGAATCCAGTAACACCCCTAAGACAGATCAGATTTCAGGTTCCAGCCAGGTTGCGAAGAGGTACAGTATTTCTCCAGGAAATTCTAATCTTTAATGCTACATCATAGAATCTAGGAAGCCTTTACCTAGGCAGAGAGTAAAGGTGGGCTACAATTAGAATTAATGAGCGAATGAATGAATAAACAATTAATTATTCATAATGGTTGATTTCTGTTTGTTTTCTAGTTAGATTTAAAATAAACATATTTTGTAAAGTACAATAATCCCGTGTTGAGCTTATTGCAGTGTTACTAAATGTCCGCAAGAGGGCGACAATGGTCCAGCAGAAGATCAAAAAGTTACATACCGGTAGTTCACTGATTTTGTTGGTTGTTTTTCTTGCTTGCCCTTGCTGAAAGCTCCTCAACCTTGCGCTTTTAGATTACATTACTTACAAAATCACAGTATTTAACATATTTATGGCATGAAGGCATTAGGCACGATCCAGTATGAATTTATTTGTTTGCTTGTTTTGTTTATCGTCCAATGTTTTTCAACATGTGACTTGTTAAATTAAAATTATTAGAAATAACTTACATTTCTCAATCAATTAAAATTAAAAAAAAATAATGCAAATAAAAAATATCAGACTTGTTGACGTTTGACGTACACACTGCGCGCGCCACCGCCCACCTAAACGTGCGCGCCGCCGGTGTCCAACGCGACCGTTAGCTGTAGCCGGGCGAATGCGGTGGTACCAGGGAGGAGAAAATCTCACCGTCCGTGCCGGGTGATTGTGAAAAGTCATTCAGACTGAAACTTTCTGTTGGACGCTGAGGTTTGCCAAGGGAATATGATGTTTATCATGTTAATAACGGTAAGTAACGAGTTTCTGGGAGCGCATCTGTGGTGTTTTGGCACTAAAAGACTTGTTATTTTGACGACGTATTGGGCTGCAGTGGCTGCGCGTTCCCATCCCGAGCTCAAAATGGCGGAGAGGCCGAACGCTGTGCTAAGCTAAGAGGTAAAGTTGTCATTGTTAGAAAGCGTCGTCGAGAAGAACAGTCGTTACGAAAGTGACACAATTATATAAACCAGATATGCTGAACGGAGTTAGTTTTAGCAAACATCATGTGTTTTTTTAATCAACGCTAAGGGCCGGATGCAAGCACTTGTTGTGAAGACTGTTAGCAACGCCTTTTTATGGAAGTTCTCAGGACATGAGCTAACCCTGGTGCTGTTACTGTCAAATGTGCATTTTTTTTTAAAATGAGGGTCGACTTACTTCTTTTGCAAACCTTATCAGCTGTAGGCTTCTGTCTCAACAGTTAGTTTAGTGTTGTCCTTGACTCGATATATCATCTAAATACGCCAACAAACTTATGTTGCGCATACATGTTCCCCTGTGACAGTAACGAGTATCTGTAATCTTATTTTCTATAACACGATGTGTGTATAAAGTAGCGAAACTAGTTGTCAGAGACCCAACGGCGTGTCTTTGTTGCTTACTGAGAATCTATGACTGCGTTGCTGTGCTAAAGCTAACTAGCTAGCTGGAAAGGGCGTTGCTCAGGCATCGCTGCAACTTTGCCCTTGTGTCCCTGCAAGCAAATGGAGTCACCACCCAAACGTTTTCGCCTCTGTTATTTCTTACGAAAAGTAACGTGTTTGCTGCTCGTAGTCGTTATTTTCAACATTCTGCTGCAAGCTAGGTAGGATGAATTGCAATTAGGGTGGAGACCAAGAAGCAGTACTAGTAAATCAAACTGCACACATCTGGAATGTGGATTTTCTTTCACTCGGTTGCTTAGATTGAGCTGATCCGTTTTCGTTTAATAGTCTGATATAGATCATGCTATATACAATTGCATGTGCTGACCAACCCCTTATTAAAGGAATAAAGCAACAGTGCTACATTTAGAATCTTTAGGACACCGAATTTTCATTTCACCCCTATATTAATTGATAAACATGTTTTTAACCATTAGAAAATGTTCAGTTTTGTAATTTGTTTTTCCAGCAAAGATAAACTTCAGACCAGTAATGTCATTCATCTCTTATGTATGCTTTCAGGGTTCATTTATTTGTTCTAAGAAGCAGAACGTTTGCTGTTGTCAGATTCGGATCAAGTTTTTGACATGTGATTTATTTATGGTTTCACTGGGAAAATGGAATCGTGTTTACGGTAGCATAAATTGTCACCAGTCCACACTTCACTTGACTTGTCTCTGCATGTGCAAAAGAGGGCTTGATTTTCCCCTTGCTAATTAAAAATTGTGGGGTGTGAACAGCATCCCTACATTCTTGCCAACCATGTGCTTGTTTTTGTAATTTTTGACATGAACAGTTGATTGTGACAATGTCTTGTTTTTGTTTTAAATGGTGTGAAATTGTCCTACTTATGCATGATTCCCTTTCTTTTTTTTCTGCACAGGAACAGGAGCAATAACTATTGTGTTTTTCAGGCCAGTGTCCTAAAATAAATCTCGAAAACATGATTGATTAGACAGTTATTCTAAAATATAATGAGCTGTCAGTCAGGTGAAACCATCTGATCTGTTTTGATGTTTCATTTGTAAGCAAACATCATTGTAGTTTATTGTATGGGATCAGGGACTTGTTGGGCATCAAGGTCAGGTTTAGCATTTTTGTCGTGCTTGACAAACTTTAAAATGGTTGAAGCAGGTAACGCATTGACGTGGTTGCATTTTTTATTTTAAAAATGTTGTTTTCATTCAGGTGAGGTTCACTGAGAAACGTGCAGGATTTGTTCTTTTTGAAATACAATCATCACTCTGAGTTTCACATGCAGGCTGAATGTGAAAATGGTTTTCTTCTACCCTTTTTTACTGTTTTAGCCACCAAAAGAAAATAGAGGAAAATCTGGAGTCAGAAAGAGCCACAGAGATCTAGCCTGGCAAGCCAGACTAAATAAATGTATTATTTAGTCTGGCAACGCTCCATTGACGGCTCTCGATTGTGGGGCGGGTTCTACCGTTGTCTTTCAAATGATCTCTGCATGCTACTGGGCAATGAATGTGACATACTCACCGCAACAGCTATCGGTAAATGAGGCGGCCCGCAGTTGAAGAAGGAGAAAATTTATCATTTTTTCTTTTAAAAAAAATCTTAAATACATCTATCTGCTCCTGATTCTAATGAAGCCCAAGTTCTAATAGTCCAAAATTGATGTAAAAGCTGTTTCAAACGAGCTGTCGCCATCTTGTTTCACTCTGTTGCATCATCCCACCCACCAGGCATATAGAGTGCTCTGATTGGCCCACAAAGTGGATAAAGCTCTGTGATTTGTTCACTAAGCAGATAGAACACTATGATTGGCCCACCATTATGAACCAATCACAGCTCTTATGTGTTTGAAACCCCTCTAGAGAGCTGTGATTGGCCAGCCAGAATGCGGTTAGGGGCCGCAGAGGTTCCAGTGGAGCGTTCCTAGTAGGGTTGTCACGGTATGAAAATTTAACCTCACGGTTATTGTGACCAAAATTATCACGGTTTTCGGTATTATAGCGGTATTTTTTAAACGGTGTTGCATATGTTCAGAAAGCATTGATAGTCCTGTTCTACACAAACTGAAATAGTTCTGAAAAGGTTTAACAGTGTTTATTAAACCTAAAATAACACAAAGCCTTAGCAAAAGTGCAACTTTTCACAAGTAAAGGAACAAATAGCTTCTTTTTCTGGAACGTGTTACAGTAGTCAGTGCAGGTTTAAATTATACAAATCCAAACATTCAAAACATAAACAATATGTAAACAAATCAAAGAAACACCACTTGTTTTCTCATATACTTGTTTTCTTCATTATCAAAATGAAAATCTAAAACTCCAGTCCACACTTGACTTGAGCACTGTACAAGTCAACCTTAAAAAAATATGTATTTAAAATAAATAGCCACTTTAAACAAATTACTAAAATAACTACTACACTATGTAATCAAATCCAAATGTTCAAGTATAAATGGCATTGAATAAGTAAACAAATCAATGACAAGGAACTAATTGTATATTTCTCTTCATCATCAACAAATAAGATGCTTCATCCAGCAACAGGGTGTCCGTGACACGGTTTAAATGCTGGCAGAGGGCGCTGCGGCTGCAGTCTATAGTGACTCGTTGCATTCTCCCTCAACCAAAAGTCCTCACGTCATGCATTTAAGCTAAAATGCTAATGTTATCTTACCTTGCACTGGCTGTAGAGACATGGGTGATGGTCATGCAGATGTGCCGTTAGATTCGAAGTGTTGCTGCCTTTTGCAGACACTTGTTTCCTGCCCGTTCTGCAAACGGGATAGCCGTCTTCTATTAACTGTCCCTCAGCATTTTTCAGAAATCCAAAATATGCCCATACTTCCGAGTTAGTCTTCTTTGAGGGCTGATGGATGTCCTGGGCGCTGCCGTCTCCTCCTTCGGCCATTATTTCAGCTTCAAAGTTTTGGTGCCGTTGCAAACTAAAAAGTGCGTGTGCGCGCCGTGGGAACTTCAGCTGAAGCGACGGTGGCTGGTAAGGGTCACCGCGCTGAAACCGCGGCAACGGTAAACCCACCGAGATAATTTAGTTTTTTAAAAACTGGACGGTTATTTTTATTGTCAACTTTTTTACCAGGGTTTACCGCTATACCGGTTACCGTGACAACCCTAGTTCCTAGAGCAAACTTTGCAAAGCAAGAGTTTGGTCTAGTTCACTAGGCTAACATAGCTCTACTTCAAACTGTAAATTAAGTTAGCATTACTCACCCATCTTGACTCGTGACAGGCAAAGCTGTTTATTTAGTGTCCAGGAAAACGCAGAGAACGTCTCTGGCAGTAGAAGCTAACAATTAGCATTAGCAACTCCACAACATGGCAGAACTCCTTCAAGCTTGTGTTAATTGCGCGGAATAAATGTTAATGTTTCAGAGTGAATGAAGGCAGAGCAAGAGTCACATTTCTGTTACCCAATCAGAAGCAAGATTTCCATATGATGACAGAGACTCCAAATCCTGTCGTTTTCTGCTTCCTGATAAAAGAGCACCAAATTGTTTTTGTATAGGTCATACTGAAGACTAGTGTACGCCCTTTTTATTTATATATGTTGGCATGTCTAGCTCTCTTGATCATTATGTAAAAATTGGTCTTAAATTTTAAGCCTAAAAAATGAATTGAAATTGATTGCTGGTTTCAAGTGCATAGGTCAGTGTGAAACTTTAAACCAAGAGAATTTAACATTCAGTGGAGGCAGTGGCGGATTTAGCAATTAGGGGGCCCAAGGCGAACACAGACATGGGACCCCTTACACAAAATTTTCGACAATCTTACCTTTAACTGGATTTGCGAAACTCCCCCCCTCTTCTGACATGAGTTATTTTCCCTTTTTATTAGTCCTCCTCTTTTTTCCTGTATTTCCCTCCCTTTGAGCGCTTTCAATATTTGCTCTGCTTTCTTTTTCCTGTCAGTGCACCTATGCTTTTGCCTTTGTTTTTTTTTTTCATTTTGGTCCATGTTTTCCTCCCTTTAAACATTTTCAATTGTCTTTCCTTTTCTGCTTCCTTTGATGTTTGCATCGAAAAATATGTCACTTTCAGAAGTGAAAATAAAAGCTTTTATGAAGCAAGCTGCTTCTTTCTCTTATTGGAGCCACTAGGATAACTCCATTTCATGTTTAATGTTTTGACTATCGCTTTCAGTTTGTTACAAACGCTCCCGCCTCTCTTCTTATAATTTTTATTTGTGGTCTTATGGCACTTGGCAAACAACAATATGGTGCATTTCCGCCACCAACTGGATTGGAGTGGAATGACTACCAATCACTTCCTGTTTGTGCATCGTCGTCTTAATGACCCTCTTATGACCATAATTATAACAGGGCCACCGGGCACTT